AATAGAGAATATTATCCTTGCGTTTATGTACCTAAGATGTTCCTTTGGAGTGCATCTTAACAGCGATCCGCGAGATAGGACAGTTTCACGGCAAAGGATACATCATGCAGGAGCAGCAGCGAGAAAAGTTCTTCAACATTATGAAGCGTCTTCAAGAGATTAGGTGTGACAGCACGATAAAAAGTTCAAGTTCTTAATCAACTTCGTCATAATGCGAATAGAATGTCTTCCTGATCAAGGCCACGCCACGATGCGATTTTTTGCGACTAAATGAAAGCTATTTCGAATGTGAATGAATACAACATTTAAGATAGAAAAGGATAATTTCCTCGAGATCATGTGGGCCTACCATGACGCACTGAAAAAGATTTATTTTATATTAAATACACATTTATTAATTATATATTTAATTTATTTATTAAATTACATATTATATATTAAATATATTTATTGAATGCTGGCATATAAGACATTGAAAAGTACTCGTATGATGCTTTGCTAGACAATTACGAGATGAACGGCCTATTTGGTTTTATTATTGCTTTTTCTTACCGATAATTACAGAAAATAGCAGCGTAAATAAAACACGAATAATGATGCGAGAATAGAAGATTATGCGAAAATTTGCAAGAAGAGAGGCTGAGACAAAATATCAAAATGCTAACCGATATGTTGTTGCAAATAAAAGATTTTGGTTGTTTTTTGTAATTGTATAATAGTAATTGGAGCTTAAGCTGTAAGGAAAATTAAAAATTATCAAATATACGCAATGTAAGTACAAAAAATTGTTATCAATTAAATTATATTAATTAATTAAATATCATATACAAATTATTGCGCAGCAATCTAGTTGCTTTAAATATTTATTAATTTTCAATTAAAACCTATTCAACATATAGTTTTGTTACCTAATATAAAACCGATAAAAAATTCTGTTAAAAATAATTTAAAACCAATTCTGTGATTTATATAACAGCGAACTGTTCCGCTATTCGAAGATTAATTATGCACACAGTCAGTGCTCTATCAAATTTTTCCCCTCATTTCCTTGTATTGACATAATGTGAATTCATACCATTATATCGGGATGTATATATTTCTCATTCCTCAAATTGTATATACGTTTCCTACTACACAGATTGAATATCAGTCACGGAATATCTGATTTCGCCATTATTTGCAAGTCATTTTAAATCATAGTCAGCAATATCGTTCACGCTGTAAGCGAAGTAATAAGCTCACGCGTAATTGGTGCTCGAACTCGCTTTCAGATTGAAAAACGATGAATCATGCATTTTCTATATGAAATAAAATGTTCTAGCTATGAATAAAAAAATGTGAAAAATTATCTAGAAACTTTGATCGGATCATCTAGAATCGGATGTCGAGGAAATAAAAATGATACGAGCACTTCGAAACCATCAGAATGTTGTCCGATTAGTATTATTGTTTTGTTTCTCGTTGGTAAAACCTTGTATAGAAGGTTCGCACACCAAGGCGGTAGTTTTTGTTAATGGTCACTCGCGGATTTGTTTTAATATACTTTTATTTAAATCACAAATTATAACAAGAGTGTTAGAAACGAGGCGGACGATATTTCAACAAAAGGTGTATCGATCTATCTCGTCTCGTGGCTGGACGCTCAATAATGATCCGAGACACGTAGCCAAGGCGCGAAGCGAGAATTTTGGGGATTTGCGCAGGCGATTCGCGTCGAGCAAAGGAAAAGACAGGCGAGTAACACGTGGATCACATGTGTTTTTGACGTGTTGTCCCGCGTTGGCGCGAATAATTACTGAGATGTCGAACGATAATATAAACGGAGAATTGAACGACCTATACTTTAGGATTAGGCTTATTCCTGAACAATTATGTATCCATAAAATTAAAAAAATAAGAAAAAAATGAGAATGTTCTCATATATTGAAGAGACTCTTATAATATAAAATCATTATAAATATGTGGGCAATTAATCAACATTGATTCTCAGTTTCACAACGAGAGTCTGTTCTATCGTCTAATCCTCTAATCCGACGAAAATTTTTCGAGATGTTTTACGAATAGCTACCCATGAACTCGATAATCGCTTTGAAGAATGTCAGTGAATGAAAATACTATCCTTATACCCTCTGGAATCGTAGCGACGTTGCGTGAGATAAAACAATTCCACGATAAAGGATATGTTATGAAGAAAATTCAGCGAGAAAAGTTCTTCGATATTGTGAAACAGTTGCAAGAAAAATATCGCTGCAATGTGAAAAAGGAACACAAGGACTTTTTCAGTATAATCGCAACGACGACGATGGATTATCTTTTCAGTCACAACTACAACTGTTCCGCGATAAAATGGCAGCCTCGTGAACATGTACAATAAAATGATGAAAACGGTAGAACCCGTGGAAAAAATCTTTATTTACTCTGTGCCATGGCGATTTTACATTAAGTAATAATCTTTTTAATATAGAAGACAATGGATAGCTACGAGCAATGCTGATCGACTTCATGGATTTGAAATACCTATCTTGTTGATCTTTCCACGTTTCTTTGTCTTCGTTATTCTAATAAAATTAGAATAGATATTTTTGAGATCGTGCAAGCCTATCACAATGCATTCAAGAAGTATCTGTCAGACGCTAGCGTTTGAAATCTGGACGAATATTCGTACGATGGATATTTTTGGACAATTATAAAAATGCTGTGTTTGATTTGATTAACGTGTTCTCCTTCCGGCGTTATTAGGATAATAAGTTATATTAACAATTACATCTAAAAATACTAGGCAACCATGGGTTACTATGAAATCAACGAAAGAGTCCAGGCTGTGTTTGATTTGATTAACGTGTTCTCCTTCCGGCGTTATTAGGATAATAAGTTATATTAACAATAACATCTAAAAATACTAGGCAACCATGGGTTACTATGAAATCAACGAAAGAGTCCAAGTAGTCCGATAAAAATAAAATGTTCACAATTCTAGGCTGATATGTTGCTGCAAGACCTTGATTGCGTAGAATATTTTTTATAATTGTATTATGTTATTGCAAAATTACATAAAATAGATTATTATCAAATGCTTATGCGTAAATAAATTAGAAAAAATCTTTAAACAATTTATTCAAAAGATAATACTATAATGTATAATACTATAAATAAAACTAGATTCTCTTTATACAATATTTAAGTAACATGAGTATACTATTTACTTATTTATATTTAAAAATATATTTTTATTTTTTTTTCATTTTCCTCATTTATTTGTATATATAAATGAGTTTTTATTCATGTGTATTTTTTTACTATTTATTTCGAATTATTTTCTTCGGTACTATATACCTTTACATACAAATATATATTTGCACTTTTCATATTTGTTTTCAATTTATCATACTAATCGTTTAAAAATAAAATTAAAAATATAATAAAATAAAATTTTTAATAAATAAAAGTTTATTTTGAGAGAAAATAAACATAAAAAAGATAATTTGTGTGCTGTTACCATAATTCTAATGTAAAAAAAGTCTGAATGTATTTATATTTTAGATTGAATCTTTCGGTTTCCTCAGTCATTTATTGTTTTTTACACGATTCGATATTTCATCCATTTTTCTCCAAGTTTGTTCGAGTGGCTACTGACGATATTTTGTTCGGGAGAAGTACAATATTTTTCGCGTGATTTTCTCTCTGCTCTTTTTACACAAATCTGGACGACAAAAACAGAAAAGAAACCCTCAGAATAACCGTATTATTTTGCGGAATAAAAGGCATAATTTTGTCTTCTTTTTTATAATACAATATTTTAAATTACATTTCTCGACTTATCTCAAAAATCTCATCTCAGAAAGAGAGAAAAATTATAATACATTATTTGATATATGAGAGAACGAAAAATAAATATAATAAAATCAATTATAATCTTGAAATGTCATAAAAATCAGAAACACGTAATCCAAAATAATGTTTAAACCTGACTAAATATATACTTTGACATATTAAATATTAATCTTCTATTATTAAATGTTAATAAATTTAAAAAAAATAAATGCAATCTGTGCAAATTCAAATTTTTGTATGCTAAAATCAGAATTATCATATAATAAAGAATATTTTTAAATATTATTTTCGCTTAAATTTTGCTTCATGCATGCAATATATAAACTACTAAAATACTCATTTCTGCAAGTGATACTAATCGCTAAAATATGCAGGATATATGTATATTGGACAAAAAATATATTGTAATTATGTAAATTTTAAACATCTATCACTATTCATATGCTAATAATAAATCATTATTTATCATATCGTAAAATAAAAATAAATATTTATAATGTAAATTGTCGGAAGTATGTTTATTTCTTTGACATAAAAGGGATATATATAGTATCTTTGATTACATAATTTTTCAAATGACATATTCGTCCATCGATTGGTTTTATCAATCGTATTATACTTACTGATATGATTTTTACATCTATATATCGGCAAGTTCTTCCTATGCGCAATCTTTTGAATTGTATTCAATTGCATTGATTCTCCCAGGTGTATAATTACCAGTCGATAATAAGTAAGTGTTCTTTAAGTAATTATATATCACATCAACACTACTAAATTAATTTCGCAATATCGCAATGCATTAAAGGTCTCTCATATTTTGTATTACATTTTTATTGCGTATGATAAAATTCACGATATGTTTAACAAAAAAAAGTACTATATAAACATCAGAACCACGCAGTAACTAACTATTCAATTTTTTAAAGTTAAAACGAATTTGACTCGAGTGATACATGCGCGAATTTAAATTCGGATACAATAAATTGTATGTTGCAGAGCGAATAAAATGTCTCACGACACGGATGTTCAATGGCTTAAAGATATAATATCAAAAATAAGTAAGAAATTAGGATCAGACATCGAAGAAGAAGAATACGTGGAGGTCACGTCGGTCGTAAAATCCTCCAATCTACATTATGTAACCGTGAAGTTAAAAAATAAGGAAAAGAGCGAGAAACTTTCTCTCATAATAAAGAGATCCGTGGTGGAAGAAAAAGAGAGAGCTACTTTTAATGGAATCTAAGCTTCATAACGAGATTTTGTTCTACTCTACATACGCCCGGCCTGACGAAAATTTGGCGAGATGCTACTACGTCCATGAACAGGCTTGCGATTCAGTGATCGCTTTGGAAAATGTCAATGCTCGAGGATATTATCATTGCCCATTCACGTACGACCCTCCTTTGGAATATGTCATAACGGCGATGCGCGAGATAGCACGATTCCACGGAAAAGGATACGTTATGAAGGAGCTGCAGCGAGAAAAATTCTTCAATATTGCGAACCAATTGCGTGAAACCAAATTTCCCATTGATATGGTACAGGAACGCAAGAATTTTTTAAAGACAATAGTAATGAGAACGGTGAATTATCTTCGCAGTAACAACTACGAGAAAGAGTTCTGCGATAAAATGGCAGCCTTAATCTCGAACACGTACGGCAACATGACGAAAATCTTGGAGACTGTAGAACCTTTATCTACCACGTGTCATGGCGATTATGTGTTGACCAACCTTCTCTTCAAAAAAGAAGACGATGGACAGCTACGGGGGATACCGATCGACTTCGCGGAATGGAAATACGCGAGGCCCGTCGTCGACCTTTCTACGTTCCTCTGCGTCTCTTGTTCTACCGAAATGAGAAGATACAAGTTTTTCGAATTCATACGAGTCTATCACAATGAGCTTAAGAAGTATCTGTCGGACGCTGGCATTTGGAATGCCGAGAAATACTCGTACGATGTTTTTCTGGATGATTTCAAAAGAGGCGCTTTCTTCGGTCTCATTATCGCGTCATACTTTCTACCGGTGTTGTGGGGATATAGTAAATTAGATATAGAAATGCTAGCAACCAAGGGCTACATGGAATCAGCGAAAGAGTGCAGCCAGGCCGGCGGAGATAAAATGTCAAAGATTATAACTGATGTGTTGCTACATCTAAGGGATCTTGGTTGCTTAGAAAACGTTTCGTAACCTCATGTCATGTTCGAAATGAGATGCATACATTAATATTTGATAATATTTTTGTGCAAATAAATTATTATAAAAAAAAGGTTTATACAATCCGTTCAAAAAATGTATAATACAATATCAATAAAAATACATTTATACTAGAAAAATCGATTTATAATAGGTAATATGTAAGTAGCATAAAAATACCTTATTGTATTTATACATATTTATAAATTTAAAAAAATTTTTAATATATTTTAAAATACTTTTTTTATTTTGCATTTTTATATATTATAATTTGTTTTAATATTTATTTTGAGGTTCTTTTCTCTATACTAGATATATATATATATATATTTGCCCTTTCTATATTTACTTTTAATTTATCTTTACTTTTCTTTAATTTATACTAATCGAGAAAAAAGTTTAAAGACATAATAAAATTAAAATTTAATAAGTAAAAGTTTATTTTGAAAAATAAATATAAAAGATACAAAGTGATAAATATAAGGCCAACTTATCGAGCTGAATATTCGAGATGTTCAGTCAACTACCATTTATTACATGTATAAATTATAAAACTACAGTCATTATATTAAAACTAACGCAAATTACAATCATTCTATAAACGTTTCGACCGCACGCGGTCTTCTTCAGTATAATTATTGAAATATAAATTCTTACAATTCACATAATATTGAAATTTAATTATAGTTATTCAGAATCAAGAGTTTTTGAGTAATTAACGCGGTTTCAATCCGTCCTGTCCAACAATGTTCGCCTCGATATGATCCCTGATTTTGTTCAGATCTCGGATAGTTTCATCGTTAATATGCGAGAAATTAACCCGTTCCGTAGGCGCTGCGATTTATAAAAAATTACCGATCAACGCATGTCCAAATTATAATATGTATCCCCTACAATTGGTAGTATGCTTACCTATCATCGTTCTTCTTGATAATTTTGCTACTTATTAACAGTTATTAAGGATGACACATAACAAACCAACAATACAGAAAGACAGCTCATTTTAAACTCTACTTGATCGGAGAGCGTGCGTGTTTATATATGATCTAATATCTATGTTTTACTCGTTAATGTCCTATTTGTCCTATTATTATTTCTTGTTCGCTAATATATCCAAAATATCAAAATACGACTCGCTAAGTAACTCAGTATCTTTGTTTAAATTTAGTCCATTTTTTTGTTCCTTGATATGTAGCATCTCAGAAATGAGTCTTTTATAATAATTATTTTCGTTGTCCATGATCTTAACATTGTCCCAATTAAAAGTATGATGTTCATTTATTATGTGTTCAGAAATTACTGAATGTTTCGTTGAGTCCAACCTAATATTATTTTTATGTTCTTTTATTCGCGTCTGCAATTGCCTCTTTGTTTGGCCTACATAAGATGCATTACAATTATTGCAACTGATCTTATAAACCACATTCGAATTGCATGGATGTTTAGTTTTATCTTTCTGCGCTTTAATAATATTATCCAGTTTGTTGAGACATCTATACCCTACCATACAATTTTTATTTTTACCGAGGAAACAATCATTTCTGAGATCCCATCTATATACGGAATGACAAAGAATTTTTTATTGACCGAGTCATTTCTTATACTTTTTGTTCTTTCTATGTTGGCCTGTCTCTCTATAATGCTCCCCTTAGATATGATGTGTTCTATCCGATGATTAATTTTGTTAAAAATCAGATCAAGAGGGTAACCATTGCTTCTGAGTATATTAATAATTAACTCCAAATTTTTATTAAAAATAGTGGATGTGATAGCAATAGACATCTGTCTACAAGGTTATATATTATTCCTATTTTGTGGCATAGTGGGTGGTTTGAATAAAATGATAACGTCCTTCCTGAGAAGGTTTCTTTTTGATACCAGTCTATATATATTTTGTTATTAATAATTTTAAGTGATAAATCTAAGAAATTCAAGCTATGGTTAACCTCTTGTTCGACCGTGAATTTAAGTCTTTCATGATAGTTGTTAAAATTATTCACAATCTGAGTCATATTAGTCATAGAGGTGGCCACTATTATGTCATCCACATAACGAAAATAAAACAAACATTCCAAATTCAACGCTTTGAGAACTGTATCCTCAAGATCTTGCATAACCAGGTCTGCAATAATTGGTGATAACGGTGCATCAAACCTATAGATATACATTGTTCTTTACATTTTGAAACTTCACAACCGACGAAAATATCACAAAATTCTCTCAGGGCAATCACTAATGATGCCAAGGAGATCAATATACACATAGAAGCCAATAAATTTCTCAATGATACAATTAACCCTTTGGAAAATACTAATAAAAAATGGTTTGTTAATCTTTCCAACACAGACATTCCGCCTAACGTTTCTAATCTGTTGCAAATGGGTGATAAATTCTGTCTTCCGAATATTAGTAAAAAAACAGCGATACATGAATTCATCAAGGACATAGAGAGTAATAGCAAACGAAATAATATTAATAATCTCACAACGATCAGAAATATCGCGGTTCCAAAATTTGCACAACTTCTGAACACGAAGGATAAAAATGACGTAAGTCAACAAAAATTACTTGGTGCACACAGAGATTTAATAAAATTTTGTAAAGACAATCCGAATGTTCTATTCACACGCGCGGACAAGGGTAATGCTACGGTGGCAATGGAAAGATCTCATTATATTAACAAAATGGAAAACGTTTTAAAAGATGTCAACACTTACACTATTGTTAAAAAAAATCCGTGCAAAAAAATAGAGAACGATTTGAATGATTTGTTGAAGAGATGGCTTAAGGAAGATTATATTTCAAAAAACGAATATTATAAATTACGTTGTAGTGATTCTCTCCTTCCAAAAGCGTATGGATTACCTAAAATCCATAAGGAAAACTATCCAGTTAGAATCATAGTTTCATCGGTTGATACAGCTCTATACTCGCTGGCTTCGTTTTTACAAAACACCTTACGAACTAGTCTACCCAAAGCGAAAAGTCATATTAATAATAGTTTTGATTTGTACAGCATATTGTCTGGTAAAAAGATTGATGAGAATGATAGGATGTTTTCCTTGGATGTGGTGTCTTTGTTTACGAACGTTCCTCTGGATCTTGCGATTGACGGTATTAACGATAGATGGGATCACATTGGAATAAATACTAAAATACCGAAAAACGAATTTTTGGGGGGTATAAAATTCATATTGACTTCTACATATTTTACATTTGATGACATAATTTATAAACAGACGTTTGGGACCCCTATGGGGTCACCGTTATCACCAATTATTGCAGACCTGGTTATGCAAGATCTTGAGGATACAGTTCTCAAAGCGTTGAATTTGGAATGTTTGTTTTATTTTCGTTATGTGGATGACATAATAGTGGCCACCTCTATGACTAATATGACTCAGATTGTGAATAATTTTAACAACTATCATGAAAGACTTAAATTCACGGTCGAACAAGAGGTTAACCATAGCTTGAATTTCTTAGATTTATCACTTAAAATTATTAATAACAAAATATATATAGACTGGTATCAAAAAGAAACCTTCTCAGGAAGGACGTTATCATTTTATTCAAACCACCCACTATGCCACAAAATAGGAATAATATATAACCTTGTAGACAGATGTCTATTGCTATCACATCCACTATTTTTTAATAAAAATTTGGAGTTAATTATTAATATACTCAGAAGCAATGGTTACCCTCTTGATCTGATTTTTAACAAAATTAATCATCGGATAGAACACATCATATCTAAGGGGAGCATTATAGAGAGACAGGCCAACATAGAAAGAACAAAAAGTATAAGAAATGACTCGGTCAATAAAAAATTCTTTGTCATTCCGTATATAGATGGGATCTCAGAAATGATTGTTTCCTCGGTAAAAAATAAAAATTGTATGGTAGGGTATAGATGTCTCAACAAACTGGATAATATTATTAAAGCGCAGAAAGATAAAACTAAACATCCATGCAATTCGAATGTGGTTTATAAGATCAGTTGCAATAATTGTAATGCATCTTATGTAGGCCAAACAAAGAGGCAATTGCAGACGCGAATAAAAGAACATAAAAATAATATTAGGTTGGACTCAACGAAACATTCAGTAATTTCTGAACACATAATAAATGAACATCATACTTTTAATTGGGACAATGTTAAGATCATGGACAACGAAAATAATTATTATAAAAGACTCATTTCTGAGATGCTACATATCAAGGAACAAAAAAATGGACTAAATTTAAACAAAGATACTGAGTTACTTAGCGAGTCGTATTTTGATATTTTGGATATATTAGCGAACAAGAAATAATAATAGGACAAATAGGACATTAACGAGTAAAACATAGATATTAGATCATATATAAACACGCACGCTCTCCGATCAAGTAGAGTTTAAAATGAGCTGTCTTTCTGTATTGTTGGTTTGTTATGTGTCATCCTTAATAACTGTTAATAAGTAGCAAAATTATCAAGAAGAACGATGATAGGTAAGCATACTACCAATTGTAGGGGATACATATTATAATTTGGACATGCGTTGATCGGTAATTTTTTATAAATCGCAGCGCCTACGGAACGGGTTAATTTCTCGCATATTAACGATGAAACTATCCGAGATCTGAACAAAATCAGGGATCATATCGAGGCGAACATTGTTGGACAGGACGGATTGAAACACGCGTTAATTACTCAAAAACTCTTGATTCTGAATAACTATAATTAAATTTCGATATTATGTGAATTGTAAGAATTTATATTTCAATAATTATACTGAAGAAGACCGCGTGCGGTCGAAACGTTTATAGAATGATTGTAATTTGCGTTAGTTTTAATATAATGACTGTAGTTTTATAATTTATACATGTAATAAATGGTAGTTGACTGAACATCTCGAATATTCAGCTCGATAAGTTGGCCTTATATTTATCACTTTGTTTTCAATATACGAGCGACAATTGTATTAATTTATAAAAGATACAATTTTGTTAAAATAATGTTAATATATAAGAATACATTTTAAGTTGATTCTCTTTATTATGCATGTTTAAAAAGCATTTTTATCATGATTCTCTCTTTTTCATAGAAATGTAGACAATAAAATGAAAAATAGAAATTGTGTAAATGAATCGTTTTATTCCTCAGAATAAAACGCATAGAGATTTATTCATTTTCTTTTTTAAAATATTTCAAAATACATTTCCCAGATTTATTCAAAAATACGAAAAAATCAGATAGAATATATGTATCATCCATATGTGAGCATTAAATATAAAATTTCTGCGATTGAATAATAATCTTACTGTATTTAATTAAATACATAGTTATCGCTATGCTGTGGAATGTATTTTAATAATAATTAAATACTGATTATAATATTGATATAATATCATAATGTTAGTATCTAATTATAAGATTAGAAACACGTGGCTTCTAAAGTTATATTTATCGCTTGACTAAATATATGCTCTCATACGTTAAATACTAATTTTGTATGATATAAAGATTGTTAATAAATTTTGCAAAAATAAAATTGCAACCTGTGTAAACACAAATCTTAAAAATGCAAAATGTTTCAGCATTATCATATGATAGAATATTTTTAAATATTATTTTCGTTCTTTTTAATTTTAGTACTTAATATATTACAACTGTTGTCTCATTTAATGCACAAATAAGAGAAATATAAAAACTACATATAAACTACACAATATAATTATATAAATTTAAAAAAATATGCACTAAAAATGAATTGATTATCTGTCATATCAAACAAAGGCAAAGGTGGCTGATGCAATTTTTCGAAAAATCATATTTTTTCCAAAATAAAAGTTCAGTATTTTCGATTAATTAATCTTTTAAATAATGCATAATTCGTTAATCGACCGCATTAAAATGACTAATAATAATGTTATGTCCACATATCGACAATGTTTTTTTCATCAAGTACACAATATTTTTAATTGCGGTTCAACTGCGATTAATTTTTTCAGATATATAGTAGAAATCAATAACATGTAAATGCTTCTTGAATAATTACCCATAGTATTGACATACATCTAAAATTAAAAAAAAATTAATTTTACAATATATGCAATGCATTAAAAGTCTCCCATAATTTTGTATTGCCTTTGCGTAAGATAAACTTACTTAGCTGAAGTCATGATATGTTTAAAAACAGGTTACTAAACGTCTCAGAATTAACGTAATAATTAATTGTTCGAGTTATACAAGTTAGTTTAAACAATTTTGTCTTGAATATTCAATCCTACATTGTAGAGCGAATAAACTATCCGGCGACGTAAATTTTCACAAATAGCTTAAAGGAGCGATATCAAAGATAACAGAATCTCGATCTAAAAGTCGACGAAGCTCAATACGAACTCTACCGACGTTTTTATATCTCCTTTGTATTACGTAAGCCTGAAGTTTAAAAAGAGGACAAAGGGACAGAAGGAACTTTCTTTAATACTGAAGAGACCCACACAAGAGGCGATCGTCCTTAGATAGTTCGCATCGATCCTCAATTTCACAACGAGATCCTATTCTACCAGATCTACACCCGACTCGATGAGAACTTTGCGAGATGCTATATCGACGAACGGCCGCCCATCGATTTGGTAATTGCTTTGGAGAATGTCAGCAAACGAGGATATTATCCTTGTCTGTACACTTTCTCCTCTGCAATACACGTTAACGATGATGTGCGAGGTGGCGCGATTTTACGGCAAAAGATACGTCATGAAGGAGCAGCAGCGGCAATAATTCTTCGACATTGTGGGGCGGCTTCAAGAAATTAGAGATACGACAGAAAAAAACGCGATGAACATTACACATAAAACCTTTATTAATTTCGTCGCAACGTCAGCGATGAAATATCTCCAAGGATACGATGTTCTTTCTTGTAATAAAACAAAAGCGTTCAAATGCGTTCAATAAAATGATGTGTGTGTGTGTGTATGTGTGTAGATTCATATGGAATGATAACTAATAATTAATAACTAAATAATTAAAATATATATATGAAATAACTAACTAATCAATTACGCGTCACGAGCTATCTATACTGTCTACGTGATATAATTCCAGCAGAAAGAGCATAATTAATACAAGCAGATTTATATTTGCATAATAATAACATTTAACCACAGTGCAAATATTACTTATCACGTTACAACCGTTGTTTGCTACAACACTGATAATATATAGTGATATCATTAACACGGTTTTAAATATGTTTTATTGCTAAGTATAACATTATTACACGTAAATACATAAATTATAAAAATAAGTAGAAAAAAATATCAAGTTTCTTAATGTGATACATAAAAAATTTTCAGCACTATTTTTTATTACGTTACGTATATGATAGTAAAACTCTCATGTTTCCATTACGTTTAATCTTAAGAGTCAAGGAAACTATCTCATCCTAGTCTTTCTTTTAGATCGAGTCACTTAGTTTCCTTAGTCATTCGTTACTCTTCGCACGATTCGATATTTCATCCACTTTCTTCCAGTTTTCTTCGAATGACCGTGTCGGATGGTATTGTTCGCGAGAGCATCTTTCGTGACCCCGTTTCTTTTTACACCTATTCGAAAGTCAAAAACGGAAGAGCGACTACAGAGATAAACTCGTTTAATCCTTTGGAATAAAGAATTAAAAAAAAAAGATTCTTTCGTTTTATAAGTATTCTGTGACTTTTCTAGACTCATTCAGAAATAGAGAAAAGTCATTAAATATAATATATGATTTACTGTGAAACAGAAGAAATAATGTTTTTGTACGATTAAATAATAATTTGCTAATATTTATTATCGTTCAAATACATTTTTAATAATTTACTGTAGAATTATTTATTCTAATAATACACATAATAAAATATAATGTTTTAGCTTCTATTACTGAAAAAAGAGTTTGGTTGTTTTTCGACGAAACAGAGAAATACTGGTTAAATCGACCAGAATTCCTTATAATGCAACAAATTAGTTGTTTGTGCTAATCAAGATTAGTGTTGCATTATAAGGAATTCTGGTCGATTTAATCAGTAATTCTGTTTCGCCAAAAAACAACCAAACTCTTTTTTACTGTAGATAAGATCAGATATATATACTTTTCTAAGTTTTATCTGGATATATGTATTATCACTGAATATGCTTTAATACATTCAAGTCTTCTTAACAGAATGATTTAGCGAATTTTATAAAGATAACGACAAGATTTATTTCACAATAATCGACCACTGTACTTTATGTATGTTTGTATATGTGCATGTGCGTGTGTATGTGTGTGTATCAACTTTTTCAGCATAATTTTATAAAATTTTGATGACGCATTCTTAATTATCATTCTCATTATTTATAATGACGCGAAAATGATAATTAAGTTATTTATATTATATAATTAAGTTATTATAAATAACTCTCTCTTATAACACAGTTTAATTGCATTATAATACAATTATATTCGTTGTCTCATTTTTCGCAAATTATACGTCGATGAGTAAATATCCAACACATATTATATAATTTAATTGCCAATCTCGTAGAAATACTCGCGTACTAATCCCGATTGATTATTTGTTGTAAAAAAACCGAAGATAAAGTTATCATAAATTCTCGAGAAATTATTATGATAAAATCATATCGAATAATACCGAATAACTGAACGCATTAGTTCACATTAGTCGATTAGAAATATATATATTTCTTAGAAAGGAAATACATAGGTTAATCGAGAGTATCAGCGATAACCTTGATGGGTCCAAATCATAATCAATAATTTCCTCAACCGCATTATAATCGCTGGTACAATTTTCGGCCTTGTCATGACTGTCATTAATTCTTTCCTCCTCCGTATAATATTTTGAATCGGTCAATTCCGGTTATTGCCATGCCCCAGATACGCGGTTATCAGTCAATAACAAGCAGTGCTTCCGCGCGTAATTGCACATTGTGTTGACAGACGATCTAGCTGGCAATGCAGCCTCGCGATACATTAAATCCACTCCCACTCCTGTCTTTGCACTTGTGTATCTTTATGACACGAGATGGCATTAGCTAAAATCGCGTTCTGTCTGGGAGAGGCTATAAATATCAAAGCCACATAGAGATATTAACCAGAGATCGCAACTTCGCTCTGGTCCGCGCGCACCATCTGTATTCATAATTCTGACATATTGATTATTGTGTATACCTACGCAGTGTAAAAAGTGTGCATAGAGACAAAATGTCCGGTGCCGAGGATTCTCCATGGTTCAAAGAAAGAATGTCAAAAATTGTCGAGAATCTCGGATCGAACGTGGAGGAAGCTCGGTACGAGCTTTCAAAATCCGTGGAAGGCTTCATGTCTACGTTGTATTACGTATGCGTGAAATTTAAAGACAAGACGAAGGGAGGACAGAGCGAGAAACTGACCATGATAATAAAGAGACCCACGCAGATAGAGATGTTCAGAGAAATGATCGACGTCAATCCTCAGTTTCACAATGAGATCGTGTTCTATCAAATCTACGCTCGGCCCGACGAAAACTTTGTCAAGTGCTTCTACGCTGATGAACGGCCACCCATCGATTCGGTGATCGCGTTGGAAAATGTCAACCAACGAGGATACTATTCCTGTCCGTACAAGAACGACGTTTCTCTGGAATATACGTTAGCGGCGATACAGGAGTTGGGACGATTTCACGGCAAGGGTTACGTAATGAAGGAGCAGCAGCGCGAAAAGTTCTTCGATATTGTGAAGCAGCTTCAAGAAACCAAGTATAAACCCGGAATGGACGACGCACGCAAGACATACGTCAACATTCCCGCGACCCGAGCAGTAGAATATCTTCGTGATCAAGGACACGATGCGATTTTTTGCGATAAAATGGAAGCTGTACTTTCGAATGCATTCGACTTAATAATGGTAGAAATGGTGAAACCAACGGAACCTTTGGCCACGCTGTGTCACGGAGATTTTACAGTACTCAATACTCTTTTTAAGACAGAAGACGATGGAGAGATACGAGCGATGCTGATCGACTTTGGAACTTTAGGATATTCGACTCCCGTCGTCGATCTTTCTACGTTTCTCTATCTCTGTTGCACGAATGAATTGAGAAAGGATAAACTTTTCGAGATTATACGAGTCTATCATGAGACCGTGAAGAAGTATTTGCTAGACGCTGGTGTTCAGGACATTGATAAGTATTCGTATGATGCTTTCCTGGACGATTTCAGGAAAGGTGCCCTTTTCGGTTTCGTTATCGCGTCCTTCTTTTTACCGGGATTGTTGGGATACCTCGACAATCTACCTGAGGAAGTGGATATGCTAGAGCATATAAATTACTGCAAGGAAGCAGGCGGAGATGAAATATCCAAAATATTAGCTGATATGCTACTGCAGTTAAGAGACTTTGGTTTTTTGAAACATGTTTTATAACTGTTTATTTTTTACATAGTATATATATTTATATTAGTCAGTGGCTGTGATGTATGTATGCGAAAGATATTTTTAAATAATCAATGTCAGAAGCACACGTGACGTAAGTATACAAGGAGTGTAGGTTATAAAAGATAAAAATTGTTAATATTATTTTATAAAATCATGTAGCGTAATTTAAATTTGCATATCCGCATTCCACATGAATTTCTTCCAAATCGATAGACCGTCTTTTCTTATACGTTAATTGAGTAATATTGCATTTATTTTTTTGTTTATAAATATTATTTTTATAAATAAGCGCATTAGAATTCTTCTATATTATAAGATAAAATAATGTTATGAAAAATAATGTTTCAGAAAAGAGCAATTTTTCTCTTCAGAATATTTTTTTATATATGAATAGAGAAAGTCATGCAAAGTAATTTCAAATTATATGTAGAAATGGCACATGAGAGAAAAAGGGAGAGAAGAGAAAGAGAAAAAGTGGTATGTAAATAATATTAATATAAATAAAAAATAATAAAATCTCTCTCTCCTCGCTCTTCTATTTTTTATTATATATTTTCGTTCTCTATTTTACTACTACAGTCCTTTTTACATACCTTTGTTTAAATCGTTTACTATCACGGTTTTTTAAAAACTGTAGTCATTTTCGAGTCGTAATTATAAAAAAAAATATTAGAGTTTTATTATCAATTGATTTTATCAGATAGGATGGATTATTTTTACACACTCGAGTGTAACTTTTATCAAATAGATAACAAGTCAAGTGTAAATTGTTGCTAAATGTGCTGATTTTACGAAAGGAGTATATGTGTAAAAATATTGCGAAAATAAAATAGCGTAAATATAAGAAGCGGATTAGAACTGGAGTCTGCTTATGTGTGTGTATGTACGCCACACTCACAATAAGTGCAGTATTGCGGAAATGCCCTGGTACACATTGGTGAAATTATTCTTTCGTCTGCACACAAGTCCGAATCTGCCTTTCAAATAAAGAAGCGCCTAGCGTAATCCTCTAGAGAATAACTTTGTCATTTCCATATATTTTTCCAAGCTAGCAACGGCGTTTATCACGAAGTTCACTTATGCCACGTACTGTCCCAAGTTCGCGTACAGTCGAATTTCCTTCTACATTAATATAACAAAATATTAAGCAAAAGATAAGCAAAGTATTACGTCATGATTTTATAACAAAAATTTTTATTTGTAATAATATTGCCCTTAAATATATACTATTTATATTGAAAAAAATATATATTTTTGTCAGAAGAACGAAAAAAGTTAATGGTAGACGTGTATATGTGAGAGTACATTAAAACAGAGAATATGTTTAATATAATAGGAAATTTTATTTGTGAAGAGAACATTCCTTTTATAAATATTATGTTATTACATTTATCATGATATTTTTATGATAGTATAGTCGTTGTAATATTTTTGTTATGAGAAAAAAATTCTACAGGTGTGAATGGAAATGCGAGATTTGACGAGTCACATGTACTTTGCACTATTGTGTAATATTATGAAATGAAATTTCAGTATTCCAAGGATGTGTGTTTCAAGGATGTATGTCAATGAAAAAACGTGATTAAATAATATAGCTTATATGCTGAAGATTTTTCCATACATGGCATCAATTATACATCTATTTTTTATCAAAATTCACGATTTGAGAAACGAAATTTAAACCACTGTCTAAATAAGAAATTTAAATATAAAATTAATATACGCATAACAAACTTTTCATTTTGATTTTAAATTTACATCTTTAATGCGTTGCACTTTTGCACTCATGTATAAACAGTAAAAGTTGTATAATAAATTTCTGACGTATATGTATATAGGCACATGATGTCATAAAATTTTATAATTATATCTATTCGTACCATGAAAGCATTCGTGAAGTAACCTTAAGTCCTGAATTGGTTGAAGTTGATGAAAATAGAGCTGATCTAATCTTTCGTAATTGCTACTACAAAGAGTACGATAACATGACGTGTGAAGAAGCCGCCATATATGTGTGTTACACACGTATATTACGCACGTTATGCAACTCTAGAAAAACGATTTGTCTATAGTGTAATACGTTACAGTTACGCAACGCATTAATGTATAATGTTATCTCGCTTATTAAAAAGATAAATTATTTGAACGAATAATTATTAAATAGAGAATTATAAATAGCTATATATACTGACATTAATATTTAAATAGTAATAGAAAAGTATTTAAAATATTTCGTTTTGTACAACAGATCCGAAATAAATAATAAATAATAAGTACAATTAAAAAGATTGTTGTATTCAAAATTTCATCTTGGAATTATTATTTTTAGCAAAATTCTTCTCTCTCGTGGGATTTTAGATCGGAATTGATGTACGCATTAGTTGTAGTAAATAAATTAAAAGAATATAATCAACCGAAGTAAATCAATAATACATCAATTTTGAATAGTGGAACCAATTAATATCGGAATTAGGTCATAAATAGATATTTATGTAACTAATTATCTATGGCGAGATTTCAACAACCGGAAACATTTTCGTCGATCGCTCGAAGCGAACAACGTCGATACAGCGGTTCGAGAACCTCGGAAATCGCCAATGTAAGCTCGCTCTCGCCCTCCAGTCGTCTCTTTCTCTCTCGCATAGTTGTCGAAGCGTCGCCTAAGATAAGTTTGATCGTTAAGACCAAAGAATGCGACACCGTATACATCGCCTAGCGTGAGAAACTTTTCGAGGGCCGCCCGGAGCGAGTTTAACAATCGTCGGTGTCGAACTCGCTGGGTAGTTGCAATATCGGAGAAAATACAGAGTATATACGTATGTATGTATACACGCTGAAAGATAGAGAAAGAGAAAAAAGAGAGGCGGAAAAACGTAAGGAGAAACGGCAAAGGGATTAGAGGGAATCGAGGTAGGAGGTGACAAGCTCAAGCCGGAACGAGGTACGAAAGATACTGGAACACTTTAATCGAACTGCAGTTACGAGTTCGAGTGAAGCAGCGCTTCTGTGCCTTCTTCAAGTTTCCTGATAGTCTTCTATCGGTGTAACTCGCGAGAGCCGCGCTGTAACGATTTCGAAGAAAGTGATTCCTGTAAACAGTCGTTTGTCACTTCCCCTTGTTAATGTCTTCTTGAAATTAGAAACTATTATTGTGTTCTCGTCGATTAGCTAATATCGTGAAATATAAGCAAATAAATTGGCGAAACCGTCTCATAGCAATAGCGATATGTCATATATAATTGTATTCTTCACGCGAGCTTTTTATATTCTAATTTTTAAATATAAATTCATGTTTTAATACATATTATTATTGAATTTATTATTCGGTTACTTTCGAAGCGCGAAGTATATCTTTAAGCAGCATGCAAAGATTAATCCAGTTGATAATGATAAAATAAGAGGTTGTAAATTAATAATTAAAAATCATTATGTTTCCTGCTATTTATCTATCTCAACTAGAGCAAAAATAATTAATTAGATTACTTTATAAAAGATAATGCCTCGTGTATAATCTTGTATTTAACAAATTAAGTGCTATATTCGGTCTATATCTTTAACCTTTCGAATATATCTGTATCCGCATGAATAAAAAAATTCGATTAAAAAAATTGTATCCCGACGTTTTCTTTTCTTTGAGAGAAGATATTATATCAATAATAATTAATCAAGTTAATTATTTCTAGATATCACTGATATCACAAATTTGCGTCAACACAAACGGTTAAAAAAAAATGAGATATTTTAAGAACACTGACCGCAGTTTGCGATATGCAAATGTGAGAAGAAGCGCCATCGCTCTTCAAGAAGTATCATTTGGCTAACTATACACAAATAAGACAAATAAATATATAGGCAGTTATTTAGAGCTTCAATAAATTATTTGACGAATATTCTCGGCAAAATACAGCCACACGAGGACGACGGAAATTACTCGATTTGTTCCGATAATCAAGCGAGTAGTCGTGCAGGATGAATAAATCCACGCTACCCGCCAGCGTCCCGAAAGGAGTAAATCCCGCGGGAGTACCGTGCTGGTTTACCGTTGCTTCGCGCGCATTTGTCTCGTGAAAGAAGCATCTCTCTCTACCTACGGTGATCTAATCGTTCGTCGAATTATTTCGAAACATCGTGCTATGATTTCTACGAAGTCTATTTCCGCGCGCTTTTTCCATCGCGCTATTGCTTCTTATCAACGTCGAATTTTTCTAGAGCACGAGGTTAATAATGCTTATCTTGTCAGTGAATCAAGGTCCCTCGATAAATAATTTTAACGAAACGTCGATTTTCAAAATATCATGTTCTAAACATCCGCAAACATTTGCCACTCTCACTTTCCTCGACTGCTTTTTTCTGCCCCGTATTTCGGAGTCGTGTATATGAGCGATACAAGATACAAAGGGAAAAGGAGAGACGCTAAGAAGGCAGGAGAAGGCGGACAAGTGCAGATAGGATCTAAACGGAGGATCGAACGCCGTCCGGGAGGATATGGGAACCGTGCGGGCGAGAAGTATGCAAATGCGAGAGTACATTTATCTCGGTACCACGCCCATGTATTTCCTGGGAGTTTCCGGACGCATTGTCGGGAGCGAATCGAATACCCGCGCCTCTACCGGCGACACACACACACACACACAGACACATACATATAATCACCGTACGCACGTATACGCGCTGGTGGTCTGTGTGTACGCGTATGTGCCATCGGTCCGATACTCCGGAGATTTACGAGCAAACTAGCCCGGTCCCCAGGGCTAATAGACCGGCAAGTTATGGGCCAATTCAATTTAATTTCGAAAATAAACAACCACCATTGGCGACGTCGGTCAATTTATTCCGAGGTCTCGCGATGCGGCCGCTCGGACACGGGGGTCTGGTCTCTCCTGTATAAAAACTTTCTCGGTCACTTCATCATACGACGAACGCTGAGCTCACTCGGAGAACCCTCATAAGCCGTCTACGTAAAGTTCCATCTCGGATTTGCCGCACAATAATCAATGGACTTTGTTTAATTGAAGCGTATGCCGGAGCAATGTTGTAAGTGTGTCGTTCCGCGCATTTGTATCGCATTTGTCAATGACATATGTATGTGTGAAAAGTAAGATTGTATGTATAAAAATCTTCTCGGTTAAAAACGTAGAATGCAAGATTATCCGCGGAACGTGTTTCAGTTTATATCGCGTTAAATAATAATAAATTCTTACTTTAATCGAGAATAATCGAGAAGATTATTCTCAAGTTATTTTTCGTAAAAAAAATATAACTAGTATAATACTACATTTTACTCTGCCAAGATTAATTTTTAAGTCGCGCACGATAGCACGCATCCCTCTTACACGATACTCGTATACGAGAATAATTGTGCAATTATTTTCACAATTTAAAAAAAAAATACACGTGTGCAATAATATTTTAAATATAATAATTGCATGCACAAAATCTCGCGAATCTCTCTATACGGAGAGTATAATAAGTAATTGTAGAAGATGCGATT